CGCTCCTCTCGTTCCTGCTCCACCTGGCCACCAGGTGCGCAAGCAGAGCCGGCGCTCAATCGTTCTCCGCATTTGATCCCTTCCCCATGACCGGCTCCCTTTCCCGATCCCCGGCGCTCCACCCGCCTCCTCTCCTCTCTCCGCGGGTGGGCCAAGGGGTGGAGCCGCCGCGCCTGGCCCGCTTTGGGTCCGGAGGCGTGTCTGAAGACCCCAGCGTGTGCACCAAAAGTCGCCTCTTCTCCTGACTTTCTCTTCAGCCATTGGGACCAAGAGAGAGAGAGAGAGAGAGAGAGAGACCCTCCAGCTGGAGGTATCTCCCACCTCCGCTCCCTCCTTTGTTTTTGCGCCTACCTTCAGGAAAGGTGGGCATCTCCACCTCTCTCTCTCTCTCTCTCTCTCTCTGTCCCAATGGCTGAGGAGAAAGTCAGGAGAAGAGGTGACTTTTGGTGCACACGCCGGGGTCTTCAGGCATGCCTCCGGACCCAAAGCGGGCCAGGCAAGGGAGCAAATGCGGCAAGTGTAGTTACTGGATGTATAGTTCACCTACAATCAAAGAGCATTCTGAACTCCACCAATGATGGAATTGAACCAAATATGGCACACAGAACTCCCACGACGAACAGAAAATATATATCAATGATTGGTTGGGGGGGGGGGCGCCAAAATACTGTTTACTTACCGTTGAAAATTACCTAGGGCTGCCTCTGTTAGCATGGTCTCTGGAGAAATACATTCATGGGAAAATCTTGTTTCTTGAAACTGTTGATGGTTGATTCCTCCTAAGGACACTTGGGGTCCATTTCTCCATTTTTGGTCGAATGCCTGCTTCAAATGTATGTTCTCAGTCTGCTCTTTTGTGTAGAACAGAAGCACGGAATTGCACTATCGATCCCATCCTGTGCGTTTTGACAGCTATCTCCTGCCCAGCATACATTTGGACTGACATCCCTGGGAAACTGAAGTGAATGCTTCGTGGCATTTGATTGACCCTTTCAATAACCAGAAATATCAGGTGGCGAAACTTCTTGAGGTTATCCAATCCCACCCACAAATAGGAGCTGGGGGTGACGGGTGGGATGTTCAGAGGGCGACCTAAACCTTCACGCTCAGTCATTCAAGCTAGATGCACTGTAATAATCTTTTACGGTCCTTGCCCTACTGGAATGTCGAGATTTCCGCCATGACATTAATTGAAATAATTGTTCCAACTCACCTCAGGTGATTTTGTTCATTTCTGATTGTGTGTCCAATGCTCCAAAGCATGTGCAAGTTTTATCTCTCACTCAAGAGATGGGAAATCCACTCTTGGGATGAGTATACGTGCGCATGAGAACCCAGAATTGACTCCTGGCTGTTCTCACAATGTTCCTCTACTTCTGGTGAGAATTGTGGGTAGAGTTGTGCGCAGAATTCATTCTTTCTGTTTCCTTCGTGTCTTTGAGATGAGTTTACATGAGCATGAAAACCAGAATTGACACCAGGTTGTTCTCACAACGTTCCTCTACTTCTGGTAAGAATTGTGGACAGAGTTGTGCGCAGAATTCATTTTTTCAGTTTCCTTCATGTCTTCGAGATAAGTCTACATGAGCATGAAATCCCAGAATTGACTCCTGGCTGTTCTCACAATGTTCCTCTATGTCTGGTGAGAATTGTGGGTCGAGGTGTGCGCAGAATACATTTTTCCCATTTCCTTCGTGTCTTTGAGATGAGTTTACATGAGCATGAAAACCCAGAATTGACTCCTGGCTGTTCTCACAACATTCCTCTACTTCTGGTAAGAATTGTGGGTAGAGTTGTGTGCAGAATTCATTTTTCCCATTTCCTTCGTGTCTTTGAGATGAGTCTACATGAGCATGAAATATCAAAATTGACTCCTGGCTGTTCTCACAACGTTCCTCTATGTCTGTTGAGAATTGTGGGTCGAGTTGTGTGCAGAATTCATTTTTCCCGTTACCTTCGTGTTTTTGAGATGAGTCTACATGAGCATGAAAAACCAGAATTGACTCCTGGTTGTTCTCACAACATTCCTCTACTTCTGGTAAGAATTGTGGACAGAGTTGTGCGCAGAATTTATTTTTCCCGTTTCCCTAGGGTCTTTGAGATGAGTTTACATGAGCATGAAAACCCAGAATTGAGTCCTGGTTGTTCTCACAACGTTCCTCTACTTCTGGTAAGAATTGGGGGTCGAGTTGTGTGCAGAATTAATTTTTCCCATTTCCTTCGTGTCTTTGAGATGAGTCTACATGAGCATGAAATCCCAGAATTGACTCCTGGTTGTTCTCACAATGTTCCTCTACTTCTGGTGAGAATTGCGGGTAGAGTTGTGCACGGAATTCATTTTTCCCGTTTCCTTGCTGTCTTTGAGATGAGTTTAAATGAGCATTAAGTCCCAGAATTGACTCCTGGCTGTTCTCACAACGTTCCTCTACTTCTGGTGAGAATTGCAGGTAGAGTTGTGCACGGAATTCATTTTCCCCGTTTCCTATGTGTCTTTGAAATGAGTCTAGATGCGCATGAAATCCCAGAATTGACTCCTGGCTGTTCTCACAATGTTCCTCTATGTCTGGTGAGAATTGTGGGTAGAGTTGTGCACAGAATTCATTTTTTCCATTTCCTTCATGTCTTTGAGATGAGTCTAGATGTGCATGAAAACCCAGAATTGAGTCCTGGTTGTTCTCACAATCTTCCAGAATTAATTTGGTTTCCTTCGTGTCTTTGAGATGAGTCTAGATGCGCATGAAAACCCAGAATTGAGTCCTGGTTGTTCTCACAACGTTCCTCTACTTCTGGTGAGAATTGTGGGTAGAGTTGTGCACAGAATTCATTTTTCCCGTTTCCTTTGTTCCTTTTGTGTCTTTGAGAATCGTGGGGCGAGAAGGGCAGAATATAAATACTGTGGGGTGAGAAGGGCAGATTATAAATACTGTAATAAAATAAATAAGATTCATCCCAAATGCACAACACAACCCGAATTGTGGCTTATGCTAGGTTAAACCAGTTGACAGATGTTCTGCACACACATTGGTAAACCCAACTGATTAAATGGAACAATAACAAATCAGAACAATAACAACAAGACCTATATGAGATATCCATGGAACTGTGTTGATGCAACAATGAACAGAATTTGTCTGTTTCACAGTCACCAAAATTTTTCAATTTTATATATCGGCATATATGTGGCACCAATAGTATGACAGCCAGGCTACCCATGAGTCAGGAAATGAATGCTGTGCATAGAAAATGCCAAGTAAATATGCATGGATATAGATATGATACATTGCATGAGCTACATAGCCCTCTTCTGTACTTGGTTGTCACTGCAATGTGTCACACTGTAGACCCTTTCCGCCTGTGTGTATGCATATCCGACGCTGCGTTATAAGTGTGCGCTGGGCATTAATGCAAAATGTGCTATGCATGTCCATGCACAAGGCACGTTTTCCTGCAGAGCAGCAGCATGTGGATGGTTCTGCTTTGGACCGAATGTGGACCTCCATCCCTTTTCCTTCTGAAATCTATTCCCGAAAACAGGGCCAGCATCTTTCACATTCTCTTTTGTGCTGGGCGGCAACCACCTCAAGGAAAAGAGAAAGATTTGCAGGAAATGTGGGACAATGCTGCCACCTTCCGGAGAATTTTTGCAATCCTGCTGGAGAAACTCAAAACATATTGCCATAACTCGAGTTATTATATTTTTTCATAGACCTGTGGGTCCCCATGTGTTTTTTTGGTCTACAACTCCCAGAAATCCCAGCCAGTTTACCAGCTGTTAGGATTTCTGGGAGTTGTAGGCCAAAAACATCTGGGGACCCCAGGCTGAGAACCACTGGTGTATCAGGTATTTGTGCCAAATTTGTTCCAGTGTATGAAAATACATCCTGCATATCATGATATTATATTATATTATGACTAGCTGTACCCTGCCATGCGTTGCTGTGGCCTATAGTAAATCTTTTCAAAGTAGAGGTAGATATCTGGTCTATTATGAAAGAGAGGTACCTACCTATTCCTTCCCCCTTTTTTCTCCCCCTTTTCTCTCCTTTCTTCCTTCTCTACCTCTTTCTTTCTTTCTTTCCTCTTTTTTTTTCTTTCCCTTCTCTCTTTCCTTCATTCCCTCCCCTTTCTTCCTTTGCCTCCTTTCTTCCCTCCATGTTTCCTTCCTTCTTTCATTTTTTATTTCCTTTTCTCCTTCCTTCTTTACCTCTTTCCTGCCTTTCCTTCCTTTTATTTTTCTTTCCTTTCTACTTTCTCTTCTTCCTTCCTTCGGTACCTCTTTCTTTCCTGCCTTGCCTCCTTCCTTTCTTCCTTCCCAATGCTTACCAAACCCTTCTCATGGGAGTCCTGTGTGCCACGTTTGGTTTAATTCCGTCGTTGGTGGAGTTCAGAATGCTTTGATTATAGGTAAACTATAAATCCCAGCAGCTACAACGGAGGGGGGGGAGGAGGAGGAGTGCAGGGGCGGGGTCGGTGGGTGTGGGTGGGGCTTCGGCGGAGGGGGGTGAGGAGGAGGAGGAGTGCAGGGGCGGGGCCTCAGTTTGTGTGGGCGGGGCTTTGGCAGAGGGGGGTGGGAGGTGCAGAGGGTGCGTTGGCCGTTTGGCCATGTGAGCGCGCCGGGGACTTTGTGCCATTGCGCATGCTCAGCTGTTTTGTCGTTTTGTGAGTATGTTGTTGTGTTGTTTTTTATTTTGATTTGATTTGTTTGTACCTTGTGGGTTGAGGTATGTGCATGGGAATTTTGGTTAATTTTCGTTGGGGGTTTTTTGAGTTTTGCTGTCCCGTTGGATGCCCCTTACAGATTTATATATATATATTCATAACAATAGTAAAATTATAGTTATGAAGTTGTAACGAAAATAATGTTATGGTTGAGGGTCACCACAACATGAGGAACTGTATTAAGGGGTCACAACATTAGGACGGTTGAGAAACACTGATGTAAACAAACATTTCATTCCTGATGAAGACCAAAGAACAATAATGCAGGGAGACCTCGGTGGTTTTGTGGAAACATTAACACTTTATTATGTCTACATAGTTATGAATTATCTAAGTGTCCTTCCTATCTTCAGGTTAGTGAATTCAAGGGAGGGGAAGGGAGGCTTACACTATGCTAGGTATTTGCCTTAAAGATTAACACTCCTATAGTAGAAGAAACATAAGGAAGAAGAGAGAATGGAGGTGGACCGGAACAAGTCTAGACCTATCACATTGGAGAGAAGGCCTCTCAAAAACATCTCACTGCTCAGTAGAAATCTCTATGGTCCATGAATGAGTTGCTGACCAAAATGAGTCCTTCATGCCATGGCTGTTGAACCTGTGGCCAGATATGCCCTTAATGGAGGTGGCTCTTTGGAAAGGACCCATTGCCACCCATTTGCAATGGACCACTTTCATTCCTTGACTATGCAAACTGGGGGAATGCTGTGAACGTATTCGGAGTGGCGAATCCCTAGAGTGAACTGTGGTGCTCGTGGCTTGTGGGCCATGACCAGTTCAGCATTGTAGTCAAGGGGTCCCGGTATGCAGTCTTTGCTGGAGGGACCGAGCCTTTGCGATATGCTGTAGGCTGGCTGGCGGTGGAGGTAGACATTCGGCTCTGGTCTGGCATACATGGCCGGACCGGGACCTTTGACCAGATCCCTGGCGTAGCTCCACACTGATGCGCTGGAAGCCATCGTAAGGCAGGGAGCTGATGGTTTGACGGGTAACCCAGGACCCAGTGTCTTTGGAAGGGTGTATCTGTTGGGTCCTGGGGTCGGGCTGCTCTCCCAATAGCGCGTCCGCACACCTATGGTATATGCTGGGGCATTTGGTTCTTCAATTGGGTGTATCTTCTCAACATAATATTCATTTGGGGCAGGAGTCGGGGTAATTTCTGCAAGCCAAAAAGAGATGGAGAGGAATCAGAATTCTTTACGGCTCCACAAAATATAGGAATATATCTATATATCCCCCCTCTCTCTCCCTCTCTCTCTCTCTCTCTCTCTCTATATATATATATATATATAAATGTAATGTTCGTTTGTGGGATTAACAGAACTCAAAAACCACAGGACGAATTGACACCAAATTTGGGCACAAGACACCTTTCAGGCCAACACTGGAAAACATAGCAGAAGTGACTTAAAAAGCCAAAAACGCCCCCCCAAAATTACAATGCATGTGCAAAACCACATATATATATACACAAACACACATATATACACACATATATGCATACACACACACAAAACACATACACAGAAAGGGGGAAGGAAGGAAGGAGAGAAGGAGGGAGAGAAGGAGGGAAAGAAGGAAGGAAGAAGAGAAAGAAGGAAGGATAGAGAAGGTGGGAGAGGAGGGAGAGACAGAGGGAAAGAAAAAGGGAAGGAGAGAAAGAAGGAAAGAAAGAAAGAGAAGGAAGGAAGGAGAGAAGGAGGGAGAGAAAAAGGGAAAGAAGGAGGGAAGGAGAGAAGGAAAGAAAGAAAGGTAAAGAAGGAAGGAAGGAAGGAAAGAGAGAAAGAGGGAAGGAAGGATGGAACCAAAGAGCAAAGGAAGTGAGAAAAGAAACAGGTAGAGAAGAAAGAAAGAAAGAAAGAAAGAAAGAAAGAAAGAAAGAAAGAAAGAAAGAAAGAAAGAAGAGAAAGAAGAGAAAGAAGAGAAAGAAGAGAAAGAAAAAGAGGGAAAGAAGGAAATAGGGAGGGAAGGAAGGAGTGAAAGAAAGGAGGAGGAGAAAGAGGGAGGGAAGATTTGCCACAGCATGCCGCGTGACAGACACAGCTAGTATAAATATAAATATAAATATAAATGTAATGTTCGTTTGTGGGATTAACAGAACTCAAAAACCGCTGGACAAATTGACACCAAATTTGGACACAAGACACCTAACAACCCTATGTATGTCCTTCACTAAAAAAAAAATGATTTTGTCATTTTGGAGTTGTAGTTGCTGGGATTTATAGTTCACCTACAATCAAAGAGCATTCTGAACCCCACCAATGATGGAATCGAACCAAACTTGGCACACAGTTCTCCCATGATCAACAGAAAATACTGGAAGGGTTTGGTGGGCAGTGTCCTTTAGTTTTGGAGTTGTAGTTCAGCTACATCCAGAGATCACGGTGGACTCAAACAATGATGGATCTGGACCAAACTTGGCAGATGGAGTTTCGGGGAAATAGACCTTGACATTTTGGAGTTGTAGTTACTTAGATTTATAGTTCACCAACAATCAAAAAGCACTCTGAGCTCACGAACCATGGAATTAGGGCAAACTTCCCACACAGAACCCCCATGACCAACAGAAAATACTTAAGGCCATCCAGTCCAACTCCCTTCACCAGGGCAAGAAAACATAATCAAAGCCCTCCTGACAAAGAGCCATCCAGCCATAGATAGAGATAGATATGATTCACACACAGAGAGATAAAATATCATAGATTTGAAGGGGGCCCCTAAAGAAGGACAATGATATGTTGAATGTTCCAGAGTAGGCAAATCAGACAATCTCTACATCAATACTGACAAAGAAACAGCAAGAAATACTGTTTACCCACAAGCATAATGACATTACATATATTAGAAACCAACACTTCCTCATTACTTTATTTCCCAGATGACCTGACTGGGCCACAGCAACGCGTGGCAGGGGATGGCTAGTATGTATGTGTGTGTATATAGATAGATGATAGATAGATAGATAGATAGATAGATAGATAGATAGATAGATAGATAGATAGATAAAAAGGTAAAGGTAGTCCCCTGACATTAAGTCCAGTCATGTCTGACTCTGGGGTGTGGTGCTCATCTCCATTTCTAAGCCGAAGAGCCAGCGTTGTCCGTAGACACCTCCAAGGTCATGTGGCCGGCATGACTGCATGGAGCGCCGTTACCTTCCCGCCAGAGCGGTACCTATTGATCTACTCACATTTGCATGTTTTCGAACTGCTAGGTTGGCAGAAGCTAGGGCTGACAGCAGAAGCTCACGCCGCTCCCTGGAATCGAACCTGCGACCTTTCGATCAACAAGCTCAGCAGCTCAGTGCTTTAACCCACTGCGCCACCGGGGGCCCCTTAGAGATAGATAGTTATCCAGAAAGTCAGGTTACAAGATTTAAAAAAAATACAAAGAATGGGTATATTTTAATAAAACTTACCTGAATTGTAGCCTAGGTATTACATTATTTTCCCACATAATCACCATTGAGTTCAATACATTTTGTCATCCGTGGAATTAATTTTTAATGCCTGTGTCATAGAAGTTTCCCTCCACCTTTTTCAGCCAGTTCATTACTTTGATTTTCACCTCGTCGTCATCAGAAAAGTGTTTTCCACCCAGGTGTTCCTTCAATTTATAGATGAGAGTCACTGGGTGTGAAATCGGTGTGGCTTAAAACATCCCAACTAAATGAAGTCAACATCTCTTGTGTTGCATGAACAGTGTGCGAAGGGAAGGAACTGGAGGAGGCAGACTCCCAACGTCAGCATCCCGCGATGTTTGCTTTGGATGGCTCTGCGCAGTTTCTTCATGGTCTCACAATATATTCCGTACCCATTTTGTCACATGCTGTCTTGACATTACGTCCTCTCCAAAAACTGAAATGATTTTGTGACGAATCGCAGCAGTGTTCATGCCCTTAGCATTTAGGTAGTGTATTACAGTGCAAACTTATTTATTTTTTAATTTACTCTTTTGGTATTCCGCCTTTCTCTACCCCAAAGGTGTTGCGTATCATGTTCTGCAGTTGATGGTGGTTGGTGGTGGCAGGCCTAGCGGTTGGTGATGGAAGGGTTAATGTAAGTCTTAGTTCTAAAGGGTTGAGTAATCTGTAAGTAAGAATTCATGGGTGAAAGCAATTAAAGGTGGAGGTATGCAAGAGATAGGTTGCAGCTGGATGTTTCTGGATATAAGGAGCGAGCCTTGGGGCTGATCTTTGGGAGAAAAGGATCACTGGATCCCACTCAATTAGACAACTATCGGCCAGTTTCCAATCTCCCCTATTTGGGCAAAGTCATGGAACGTGTGGTGGCAGCACAGCTCCAGGGATTTTTGGTAGACAGACACTGATTATCTAGATCCAGCACAGTCTGGCTTTAGGCCGGGACATGGTACTGAGACAGCCTTGGTCGCCTTGGTAGATGATCTTCGCAGGGAGCTGGACAGGGGGAGTGTGTCCCTGTTAGTTCTGCTGGACCTCTCAGCGGCCTTCGATACCGTCGATCACGGTATCCTCCTGGGACGCCTCATAGACATGGGGCTCGGGGGCACTGCTTTGCAGTGGCTCCGATCCTTCCTTGAGGGACGGTCCCAGAAGGTGTTATTGGGTGACACCTGTTCGGCCCCACAACCGTTGTTGTGTGGAGTCCCACAGGGTTCAATCCTGTCCCCGATGTTATTTAACATCTACATGAAGCTGCTCGGGGAGATCATTCGGAGTTTCGGAATGAGATGTTATCTCTATGTAGATGATGTCCAAATCTGTCACTCCTTCTCACCTGTCACCAAGGAGGCCGTCCAGACCTTGAACCGGTGCTTGGCTGCTGTGTCGGACTGGATGAGAGCTAACAAATTGAAACTGAATCCAGACAAGACAGAGGTCCTACTGGTCAGTCGTAAGGTCAAACAGGGCATAGGGTTACAGCCTGTGTTGGATGGAGTTAGACTCCCCCTGAAGACACAGGTTTGCAGCTTGGGAGTGATCCTGGACTCATCGCTGAGCCTGGAATCCCAGGTCTCGGCGGTGGCTGGGAGAGCTTTTGCACAATTAAAACTTGTGCGCCAGCTGCGCCCGTATCTTGGGAAGTCAGATCTGGCCACGGTGGTCCACGCTCTTGTTACATCCCAGATAGATTACTGCAACGCACTCTACGTAGGGTTGCCTTTGAAGACTTTTCGGAAACTTCAATTAGTCCAGCGGGAGGCAGCCAGATTGCTCACCGGAGCGTCATACAGGGAGCATACCACCCCTCTGTTATGTCAGCTCCACTGGCTTCCGATCCAGTTCCGAGCACAATTCAAAGTGCTGGTTTTGACCTACAAAACCCTATACGATTCCAGCCCAGCGTATCTGTCCGAACGCATCTCCCTTTACATCCCATCTCGGAATCTGAGATCCTCTGGGGAGGCCCTGCTCTCGACCCCGCCTCTGTCACAAGTGAGATTGGCGGGGACAAGGAGCAGGGCCTTCTTAGTGGTGGCCCCTCACCTATGGAATTCACTCCCCGGAGAGATCAGATCAGCAACATCCCTCCTTTCCTTCAGAAAGAAATTAAAAAACTTGGATGTGGGACCAGGCGTTTGGGCAATCTGGCAGATGAATAAGGGACTGTGACGATGGATAGGAATTGGACAAGGTGGAACGAAATATGAACTCTGAGTTGGCGAACGCTGTGTCTGAGATTGGCTATTGATTGTGTGATATATTGTTTTAATTGTTGACCATTTAATTGCTGGTTTTATATGTTATTGTATTTGTGTAGGCACCAAGATGTGGATTTTGAAAGCCACCCTGAGTCCCCACTCGGGGGTTGAGAAGGGTGGGGTAGAAGTACACGAAATAAATAAATAAAAGTATTTGTTTTATTTTGGTGGTAGATGCTGCTGGTTCCCCCCCCCCCCCCCCCCCCCCCCCGGTCTCTGGATTTTCGGTATCCTGACCTGTCTCTTGAACCCTTGGAACCCTGGAACCTTGAATCTTTGGACTGGCTTTTGACTACGGTATAGACTCTTGATCCCTGGACTTTGCTCATTGAACTCTCGGCGTTTGACTACTGGACTGAATCTTTTGACTACGGTGTTATCTTGAATCTCCAACAGCGTTTCCTGTCAGTTTTGTTTTATATTTTGTGGCTGAGTGCTATCTTTAAGTTTTATGTTTTGGACTATTAAAACAGCCAG